AAAATGAACATATGTCTATGGTTTTAATTCAACTCATTAATTAATGAAACATCCAGAAAGATAAGGAGGTACATTCAAAAAGCCATTTGAAGAGCTGGGTATTTATAAGGCAATTTAATAAAGGAATGTTAGAATAAGATGGTTAGATTAGTTAAAGCCCTGCAAGGTAGTAAGCCATAATTATATTTCTTTTTTTTTTTATTGAAGGGTAGTTGACACACAGTATTACATTAGTTTCAGGTGTACAACACAGTGATTTAACATTTATATACATGATAATTCTAGGTACCAGCTATCACCATACCAAGTTGTTACAATATTTTGACTATATTCCTTATGCTATACATTACATCCCGCTTACTTATTTATTTTACACATAATTATATTTCTACCAGGGAAAATGTTGCAAATCTGGGGTTGCAAATTAACAATGTCTAGGCCCTATTCAAATAGCAAAATTTAAATAATTGAATAATCTTTTGGCGAGCCTATTAAACAATGGTATTCAAAGACACACTATATTGTCAGAATTTTTTTATAGGAAAGAAATAAATCCTATTTTCTTCTATAAAATGAACCTAAGGCAATGAGCCAGCTGACATTCATGAAACAAAATGAATTTCACTAACTATAAACAGAATATAAAAATATTCTCATCCACTAAATTCTTACATTAAAGAAAAATCTATAAGATTTTCTAAGTATGATATAAAACCCAAGTAGGTGACATGGCTGCCTTTTATGCGAGGTGTGACTAAACTTGTTGATTATCCGTTAAACCAAACTGAAATTATTTTGTGCTTTGTAAATTGTTTTTCTTTTCAGTACGACACTAAGTTTATGATTCCTATTTTCCAAACTCATTTGTTAAAGTGTTTGGTAACTGGGCCACCCCCTCAGAGTAGTAACAGTGGTATCAGTCACTGAGCACCAACAGCATGCCTAGCACTGTACTAACCATTGTACATATCGCTGTTTTTACTGATAACCTCACAATATAACATTATTTTCCTCTTTTTATAAACCAGGCCAATAGGGTTCATAGAGGGCAAGGGACTTCATTTGGGTCCCACTGTTATGTTCAACTCTGAAATCTTACCCTCTACTTTCTACTGCATCATAATGCTTTCTTCGGAGCTTTCTGCTTAAGTTCTGAGGCATCCTCATCATGGCGAGAACGCTGGTTGTAACCGCAGTGGGAAGGGAAGTGAGTGCCGGTCCTGCCGGGCCCAGACTCTCTCGCGCTTCACTCCTTGCACATCCTTTCAGGTTCCAGCTAGTCCCTTTATCAAGGAAGCCTCTGCTGACTAATTATCTGAGACAGCTTTCTCACACCATCACTCCTGTCCCTTAGTTCTATTTTATTTTCTTCTTAGAACATTTTGTTATTTTTATTTTTTATGATTTATTTGCTTCAGTTCTGTTCCCAGACCCTGTGTGCTCAAGCCCTGTCCCAGCCACCGTGGTCAGCACTGAGACCTGCTAACTCCTACATGTCACCAGAAGCTTCCCTATGTCTGGTCACCGCCACATAGGTCTCTTCCTCTTTGCTGTCACTTCCTGCAGTGACGAAAGTCACTGAACCTGTGGCCACCACACTGAGGCTCACTGTGCACCAAGTCCAGGAACCCACCAGCCCCTGAGGGCCTGTTGCTCTTTGGCTATTGTTCTGAGGGACATGTACTGAGCCCTACTCTCAAGAGAGCATGCAGGGCTCCCTCCTGAGGCAGAACCTTCACTGTCCTGTCCAAATGAAAAAGGAAAGGGTGGCTGCTGGCCTCTAAGCATGTTTACCACTAAAGCTGAGATAGTTCGAGAACCATCACTGCTCATGATTATTGCTGTGAAAAGTCAGTGCCCTACAATAATGGACACTCGATAAATTATTGTTGAATATTGAAGGAGGCACATAATTCAAGTATAGAAGAACAAGGCAGCCATGAGAGGAAGGTCCTGAGCTCAAGGGTCCATACCAAAGCTCCTATTAGTGTTTCTGTGCTTAATGATTTATGTCTCAACTTTATCAGTCCTCTGAGTCTCAGGTTACTGCATACATTTTAAGTGAGCATCCAATTTAATGGTTAGATTTGAGTTAATGTTAGGTGTCCTGAGTTAAACTTCATCCTGGAATCACATTTACTCAGTGACAAATATTTACTGAGCCCACACTATTTTCTAAGAAGGGACAGAGCAGTGAATAAAAACAGACAAAGCTCCTCTTCTTTTATGAGACATGGACTAGACAAACAGTAAGTATATAAGAAATAATAAACATAAAAATAATAAGTTCTAAGAAGAAAGTAAAACAGAAGTAAGGGACAGCAGAAATGATATGACAGAGCTGTTTCAGATAGGCTCATCAGCAGAGAGAGGCTTTCTTGATAGAGTGACCTTTGAGGCAGGACCTGAATGGCATCGGGGAGCTGGTCATGTGTAGGTAACAGCAAATACCTAGGGCCTGGAGTGGGAATCATGTTTATCATGTTCCATAAACTGTGATGGGGCAAGTGCACCTGGAAAATAAAAGCAGAGAGCAAGCAAGTAGACACTGAGCTCAGAAACATGGCAAGGGGCCAGACCACTTGAGATTTGGAGGTCATAGTGGGTCATATCAAAATGAACCTCCCTGGGGTTTGTAAGGCTGAGTAACATATTTGCCACACAGGGCAATGTAGGACCAGTATTGTGACCTCTTGGCAGGCAAATCTGCTTCAGAGTAAATCAGAAAGCTGCCTCAGGGACTTAGAATGTGAAGTCCAATTCTAGTCTGGGGGAAATCTAATTAATATGGAGGATTTAGGCCAGTTATTAAAACAACTTTGTGGCCCCTCTCAGAGGAGTTGTGGGAAACAACGAAGATAGTTCAAACTCAGTGCTAGGTATATGAAAACTTTTGGGCCATGAAGGATTTACTGTAGACCCAGTAGCTTGTAATATACAGTGACATCATATGTGGGACATGAGGTATAGACATTACACAGCCTGAAAGAATAAATATAGATACCTTTCTATCTATATGAATATAGATATATTATCTAGGTACTTTATATTACAAATAATGGAAACCAAACAAAGCTAGCTTATAAAAAAAAAAAGACAAAGATAATTCATTATAAAGGCATGGGCTGGTTCACAGACTCAAAGGATAAGAAGACAGTTATGCCTTAGAAAGGGCTTATCTGGAACTAGAAAATTGTCAAGACACTCTCCATCTTATAGCTCTATTCTCCTACCCATGTGCTTCACTCTTATGCGAGAAGTGAATCTTATTGGCCAAGCTGGGATCAGTTGTTTACTCTTGGTCCAATCAGTTATAACCAAGGAAGTGAGATCAGGTAGTGTCAACAAGCATGGCTGTGAGAACATGCTCCTGAAAGTCACCTTTAAAGAAGATAGGGGACTGGGCAGACAATCCAAGCAACTGCTGCCACATAGCCATGTGATTAGATCACTCACCTACATATTATTTTATGTGGAGACAACTTTGAAAAGTATTCATGAAAGATCTACCCTAATCCAAGGGGTTTATTTTTAGGGGGTAAAAAGTGATAAGGCAGGCAAAAAAATATGTATAGAAAAATCACATAATGTATGCAAAATTTTTCTTGTGACTCATGTTGTTAATGAGGAAATTACTCCATCATGTCAACATGGTGTGGCCTGATTCAGCAAATCTGGTTTAAATCTTATCATTATCAGTTAATGGTCATGTGAATGTGAGCAATTCATTCAGGTGTTCAGATAAATAAAGCAGTTGGCATAGAGTCTGCTTGAGGGAACTTCCAGATACTCTTTGACTTATATAATATTTCCATTTTGGTGGCAAAGAATTGCTTAGGGATATGTTCTCAGGTTAACTGAAGACATACAGCAAAAATGGTTAAGGGACAGGCTGTACAGTGTTATTTACAATAGGCAAGACATGTAAACAACCTAAGCATCTATCAATGGGTGAATGGATAAAGAAGTTGTTGTATATACATACGATGAGATATTTTTCAGCCATTAAAAAAAGGAAATACTACCATTTGTGACAACATGGATGGAAGTTGAAGTCATCATACTAAATGAAATGTAAGTCACAGAAGGATAAATACCATACTATCTCACTTATGTATAGAATCTGAAAAAAATAAAAAACCAAAAATGTCAAACTCATAAACAAAGAGTTGGATTTGTAGTTACCAGAGGCAGAGAGTCGGGGAGGGGGAGTAAATGGAAGAGGTTAGTCAAAGGTAGAAATTCCCAGTTATAAGATCAATAAGTATTACAGATGTGCACAACATGACCACTATAGTTAACACTGCTGTATGAGATAGAAGAAAGTTGTTAAAGAGAATGGATCCTAAGAGTTCTCATCACAAGGAGAATATTTTTTTCTTTTTATTTTACCTATATGAAATGATGGATGTTAACTAAACCTATTGTGGTAATAATTTCACAGTATATGTAAATCAAACCATCATGCTCTGTACCTTAAACTCATACCGTGATTATGTCAATTATTTCTCAACAAAACTACAAAATAGAAACACACACACACACACACAAAGAGACAGGCTACAGAATGCTACAGATCTGAGTTTGATCTTGACCCAGCCAATGTTTTGCATTTTGACCTCATAAATTAGTATATAAATTAACTTCCTAAGCCCAAATTTACTCACCTGTAAAATGAATGTAATTGACTACTTCAGTGGATTGTTGTGCCCCTTGAATAAGAAATTGAATGTAACTCAACCTGGCTCACTGTGAGTGCTCAATATTGGTCATTGTTATCACTTGCATAAACATGCAAGTAAAGGAAAATTAAATTCTAAACTCATTAAAGTATTCTTATGGCATGGATTAATGAAAACAAAATGAGACTAGAGATCTGGAGACTCTAGAGGGGTATTGCATACAAGTAACACTACCATGTCATTCACAAACTCATTGTACATTTGGCTAATTTTTAATCACATTTATAAAATGTGACTTTCCTGTGTTCCCTTGGACAGATGTGAAAGCATGGAGCTGGACAATAAAATTCGTGATCTGATTGAGAGGAATATGTCTCCTGATCTAAAAAGCGCCATGCCAAGTCACAGAAATCCATGTTCTCTGAAGGTAAGAAAACATCTTCTTGTCTACTTTTTTCTCAAAATACCTTTCAACAGTGTGTTCACCAAGAAGAATTTATGGGGACAGTCCCCTAATCACTTACAGTAACATACTTCCTTGACCGCTGAGAGGATAAAGAAAACTAGTATAAAACTTCTCTTACACAGTCACTTCCTGTTACTAAAAAATCCCTTCAGCGCAAGCACTTTAGAGTTTAAAGTGTGATACCAGGTGACAGGGACCACAGGAAAGCAAGGGGGAGCTCAGGCTACTAGAAAGAACATTTAATACAGTGATGTCTCTCTTCTGGGAGGAAGTAACCCAATTTATGTAAACTCACTGATAACAATACAACTCATGTCAATTTTTTTAAAGAAAAAACAAAGAACTCCTGATTAAAGTAGTTGACTTGGAATTTCCTTTTGTTTCAGGATATCTGTCTATGGTGCTTTATATAAGTAAATAAGATTTAGGGATAAACTTATCCCTTTCTAGAAATGCCTCCAAAATGACATCAACTCTGAAGCTCTTTTGCCCTCTTGATTAGAAACTGCTTTAATGATCATTTTTTGACTGCATGGCTGACATTTTAAAAATTACATTATTTAGCACTTCTACATTGGCCCTTCTTTCTAAAGTTATTTGTGTTCATTGTGGAAAAGCTATGCTGAGCACAGAGAAATCTATAAAGATCATGTAAAGACAGATTTACCCTGGGACTAATGATGCTTAGATTCACCCTAAAACAAAATGTACTTTTGTACCTAACTTGCATTCACAAATTTGTACCTTTTTCTCTTAAAGGAGGCCCCAGAATTGTATAAACCTCAGTTTCGCTAAACACAGATCTGCCTCTGAAATCTTTTCTAATCCCACCAGTCCTAGAGAGCATTTATAAGTATTTAGTCCCTCTGTGTTTCTTTTTCTGTGACACACACACACACACACACACACACACACACACACACACACACACGTGCACATACATCCTGTTTTGATAAACCTATTTTTTTTCACTTTATATGTTGTGGATACTCCTGTATCTCTATCGTTCATTCACTTAATAAATAAATGATACTGCAGGTGTCCTAGTTCTATGTCCATTTTTTCTGTTTAGAAACTCCCTCTTCCTGAAGAGGTAGTCGTTTATTTTCAGCTAGAAGTGAGTATCTGCTAATGGTTAGGAGCCAAGGAAGGCTTATCTCCCCTTCTCTTTCTTCTCTTCTTATCCCTGCTTGCAGCCCTCATACATACACCTCTAATTCCCAATTAGGACTTTTTTATTCCATGGAAATGTGTCCTTTTCTTTAACAGCCTTCTTGTCTAATCCCAGAAAGAAATATAAAGAGAATTTTAATCCCCTTCAGTTCCCTGATCCTCATATTCGCTGGTTATCAGCACCTAACATTCAGATGCTCCTGACAGACTTCCCTCTCAATTCCATTAATTTTGTCTTCTGGGTTCCTTCTTGTATGGTAACGACCTCTTCTACATCACATTGCCGTCTCTTGGTGAGTAGTTCCCATTATTTTGGGGACTTAATTAAAACTTGTTTCTCTCTCTAAGATATCACTTCTTCTGTCACTTGCCTGATGAAATGTGCTCATTTTCCCACACTTCACACATCCAAGCAAAAGCTAGCCAGTTCCCAGCTGATTTTTTTTCCTTGTGAAGTGTGAGGTAGATATCTACAGAGAGTGAGATGGTTAGAGGTGAGATCCAGTGTTTAATAAAACTGGGTAAGATATGAAACGGCCAGTGGGAGACAGAGGGACAGAAGAGAGGAACAAACTGGGTTGCTGAGTAGCAGTGGGGATGGTGCTAAGTTTGAAAGTCACCACTTTATGACAAAATCAATCACTAAACAATATTTGGGTTTCTATGTGTTCAACATCTCCACCACCCCTTACCAGCTTAAAATATGCTCATTTCTCCTCCACTTTTAAACATATGTGAGATCCCATATTATGTTATGGGTAGTGATCTAACTTACACTTACACATGATAGTCACACTTTTGATAATGGCAACTAAGACTTTCTGGACCCTTATTACAAGTTCGACCTTGAGAAATCCAATGGTTATTTACGTCTGATCTTGTCACTTGTCCTCTCATTTGCTTTTCATACTACGCACGAAATTCAGCTTTCTTAAGATGTTTTACTCTATTAACATCTATTAAATTAACCCCTTATCACCCTCTGCCTTTCTTTCTCTGATCTTTTCTTCTCACACACCCTCAATGGCTTCTCTTAAATTATTTACCTATATTCTATTTTGTTACCCAGAGATCTGTACATAGCCCTTAGCTCATTAAAATACAAAATAGATGCCAATGACACAAAACACATACACTTACTAAACAGAGCTCTTTTCTACATGCATGTCAATTTTACCTAGTATTTTCAATATTTAATTCAATGTTGTTCCTGTAAAACTGCTTGTTTTTTTCCTCCTCTACATTTCCTACCTTGGTTAATGGATCATTATTCACACAGTCATCAAAATTTGGGCATAATGCTTGATTCCTCCAGGGCTGCCACTCTACACAACACTAGGGGGTACCAGGCTCAGAATAATGCCAACTTTTCTTCACCCTAGACCCTTAAGGTTTTGCCTGTTCTACCTTCAAAATATATTTGGACTTTGTTCCTTTTCCTTTATTCTTATTACTGTGCCATACTTCAGATATTCATTATCTCTTACTCAGACTATTTTCAGGAGATGCCTAATTGGTTTTCCCTTCTTCAATTTGCTCCACACTAATTCATTTTTGCCAACACAATCTTGCCAATATGCAAGTGCTTAAAACTTAAAAGTAGATTTTTTTCCCTATATCATCATAAAGTCCAAATGCTTTGGCTTGATACATAAAATCCTCCATGATTTGCCCCTGCCACCGTTTTAGAACAAAACATTAGAAAGAGGATGTAATATTTGTTGGTCACTTATCATAACAGGTATGGGGGAAAATTTTTTCATATTATGCTTGATATCTACAACACCATGTAAATATGGCTATCCTTATCCTCATTTTTCAGGTGAAGAAAACTAAGGTTCATAGACATCTTAAAATGTTACTTAAATTCACAGAATTGTGGAGTTCTACTGTCAGGATAGGAAACCAAGCTTTTTCTTACTGTGTCATGCTATCTTCTACATAGCCCACCACTTCCCAACATGCTACTTATGCTCTAGCCACCCCATAATCCTTTAACAGGCCATAAAGTTTTGTAGGCTATCCCTTTTCACATGATGTGTATTCTTTGTGGAAATTCCTTTCTCCTTGCTGATTGGGTGAATTGTCTTTATGCCAACTCGAACTGTTCAGGGTACCTTTAACCACCCTCTCTCTAGTCCCACAGAGTTACTCAAGTCCCCCTCTTGCTCTGCCCTAAATCTTTACCTGCTTTATACCTAATCATACGGTCTATAGCCTTGGTTTTGTGATCATTTACGTACAGATGCGCCTTCCCCATTAGTCATGGGCTTTTGAGGATGGAGTATAATGTTCCATGGAGGTATAAAGTGTCATGACAGAGAGGTTTTTCTAGAAGGCACCAGTGTTAAATAACATGTTTGATTTCATGAACCATGGTAAAGTGAGATTTACAATCAACTTATCTCTAGGGTCTCTCCACAAATAATTCCCGAAGTCTGCAGGGGAATATTGAGTGAGCACTCATAAACGTAGTCTCGCAGCTCCAGTGTGGAAGCCACCATTGGTCTCATCCATTCTGGTCTCCTGAAGTCGTCAGATGATTGTCAGATGTTCACCTACCACTGTGGCCTATAGACGTCAGCCGTACTGTTCTGGGGAGCCCTGCTGTTCATCTCCTGGTGGTGCCCAATGCAGGATATGTCCCCCAGAGCCCCAAAGGCAGCTAAACATTATTGTTTTTTTCACTTTAGTGGAGAGATGTTTTCTTTCCCAACTTCAGCTACACAGACCCCCAGTGCTACCTTACATCTATAGTGTTTGCCAGAGACACGTGCCTCAGTCCAGGCAGTATTCCCTTTAGGTTTCAGCTGCCATGTATAGCATGACTACCCCAGGCCAGCGTTCTGCAAAGCATTTCTGTACATTAGACTCTTTCATCCTTATTCTTCCACAGATGGGAAGTTAGGTTCCTTGAGGCTCAGTGATTTTCTCACAGTCTTACAGTTAATAGGAATTGGGTTCTTGAGCTAAATACAAACCCATTGCCTTATATTTCTTGACTGAATTCCTGCTCCCTTATGTAAGGGTTCCTTGGTGGCTGAGCCAGAGTTCAGGCTGGTGTCAGGAGTGATGCTGTGGTCAGAGCAATCCCTCCTTTCCTGGCTTGGAGCAGCACCATTGGATCAGGCCACTGAGCCTGGACTCTCTGAGAGTAAGTTCTCCTAAGAACAAGCCCTTGGAGTCTTTCTTCATCCCAGTAGACTTCTGGCATATCCTGCTCAATTGTTGTCTGAAGGTCTCTTCAAATATTTGATTACTTGAGTAAAGAGCTTGGTTTCCAGCTGGAATGGCTGCTGAATTATTATTTATTCAGTAGTACTCTGTAGAAGGAAATTGTACATTCAAAACTAAACAAAAGCTTCTTTTTTTTAAATTCTCACTGAAATATTGATAGAACAAAAAGAAGTATAAGAAAACTTCTTTCTGGGTAAAACAAAGGTGAGCCAATGACAAGGGCCTGTAGAGTGTATCTCTTGCTTTCCAGTAAGCATAAGACTGAAAAGAAGCCTCCCTTTCCAGGGGCAGGAAATGAATTTCTTTATGACTTTATGAGATGGGAAGAGTGTAGCTGAATAAAAGAGATGTGATTTAATGAAAGGGCCTGAAACATATGTCAAGCTCACTTTTTGCTCAACTACCTTTGCCAAGAATAAGTAAAGGGGGAGAATTACTATAAGAGAAAGTGAGTAGACTGACTCATTGCTTTGAAGAAACAGAAAAACATTATTGATGAACATGAGGAACTCTGTCAATATGAAAGTATACTTTGATATTCTGGGATAGTT